CTCGTCGTCCACGTGTCGTCCATCCAACGCTTGAGTGAATTTTTAGGTCAACAAAACCCAACTCATCTACCCGGCCCGTGTTTTGACCATGTCTAGCGCTCCAGTGAGAATGATTATTAGTGAAAAAAAATAAAAATAAATATTAGCCATTAAATTGATCACGTGACAGTTAAAAAGAATCAAAAATTTAATACAGATAAGGGTAACATGGATAATACACATATCTCATCCACCGAAAAATTATGTGAACTTCACTATATTAATATTTAATTTTTATGTTTTTTTTATCACGCATGTTGGATATTATATTGGTATCTTTGTGTATTCTCAGAAAAAAATAAAAAAATAAAAAAAAATAAATAAATAAAAATTATTGGGGTAAGAAATCTACATATGCAATTTGTTTGATATATTCACCTAAGTAGGCGCAGTGCAGAAAAGTGTTTGTGAAGTAAATATTTTGGGTATCGATTCCTCATTTACAAAATTTTCTCTTCCTAGTTTAAGGTCCAAGATCTCGTAAGACTTTTTTTGTGAACCGAGAATTAATTAAGAGCTCGATTAGTTGATTCACGAGTGACGATTGATTGATTATGTGTTTCCGAACTTATGAGTGTTTACTTTCCACCTAAGATCTTAGGGTTATTAGCACGTTTTCTCTCTGTTTTCCTTTTTCTAGCAAATTGGGGTCTTTTTGCCTTAAAGTTTGAGTCTAAGTTGTTAAAGTTTCCATCTTGCTTCCATTTTATTGTAAAGTTGTGATTCTTTAAGTTAGTTCAACCTCCAAATTGCGAGTACAATGTTTAGGACCTTTCTTTTCCTTTCTTGTGTGAGTCAATTGTTGCTTGAATTCGTGTCCGAACAACCTTCCTCGAGAGAAACGACCCGAGGCCAGGATTTATTCGGTACTTTGCTAAACCACAACAAACAAGTCTCCTAGTACAGTTATAACCCAAGAAAAATAAATGTGGCAAGATCCTTTGACACTAAGGTACCTCTGTTGATATATGTTTCCCAGAAATAATCTTTTTGAGGACATATATATATATGATCACATTAATATTATATTGGATTATTATTATTGTATTGTAATTCATTAAATAATTATTTAATTCCTTTATAATTTATTAACTAATTGTACCCTTAAGTTAATACTGTCATTAACTGAGTGGGATGTTAATTGATAAAATATAACTTTCAAATTGCCTTAATCGATGATCATTCAGAAAGGTATATTAATGATAAGCGATAGATTGACATATTGTCTGCATCATATTTTTAAAGAATATAGTATGTTTCACTACTACGAATAATTATTATTCGTAATGGACACATGAAAATTTTGGAAAGTATTGACATAACCTATCAATAAATCATTTTATGTGTCTATAGGAGTATCAGTGTGTGGAATTGAATAATAGTCATTTGACAAACAATTTGTTCATATGCCTATGAGAATATCGGTGTGTAGAATTGAATAACAATTTGTTTATGTGTCTATGAGAGTATCAATATGTAGAAATGAATATGTACATTTACTTTAACTTGAGGTAAATATGTACAAAGTGATTTACTTTATACCTAGTCCAATGCTTACACTCCCTATAGCTTCTATAAACCTTTTAGTGGAGAATTTATAATTAATTAGTACTGTCAGTAAAGTATCATATAATATAACACTTAAAAAGAATTATTTTTAGTATGAATTTATAATTAATTAATATTGTTAGTAATGTATTATATGGTATAACAATTAAAAAGTATTATTACAGTTAATTAATTAAAAAATGTAACAGATAGGTTCTATATTTAAATAAAAAAATGGGTGGATTTTTTTTTATTTTTTTTTTATAGCAATAATCAGCTTGTATATAATTATAAATATAGATAGATTTGTAAAGTAAATATCAAGCAAATGCCATTTTATTTTACTTCAAGAAAATAAAAACTTCGCAGAATGTGTATAGGATTGATGAGTTGTAAGGATTACGACTCTTTGGATTCACGTAAAAGTGAGGTCAACCCATGAAAAAATTGTTTATTCCAACCAAAATTTTATTCTAATATATTCTAATAAAAATTTCAAACAAAAATTCTACGGTATAGCTTCTGTTAAATTGGTTCTAATAAAAATTCGAACGGATGTGTTTTTTATTGAAATTTTGATGGAATTTAATGATTCCAACAAGCTATATTTCCAACGACTTTAAACCGTAAGAATTTCTATTGAAATTTTTATTTCTACCACCGTTTGAATATCTACCGTTAGAATCGTCATCGGAAATTTCATTGAAAAATCCATTCAAACGAAATATTTTTGTTGGAATTTCTGTCGGAATTTATTGAAAAATTCCAATAGAAATAATAGTATTGAAATATTCATTTGAATTGTCGTTGAAATAATTATATTAAAATATATTTCCATTGGAATTTCATAATTTTAATGTAGTGTTGTCCACATTAACTTTCAAGTGTGCAGTTATATTTATCACATTTATTTCTTTCTCAATCAAATATCACAATACAAAACTGATAGCATTATTTATTCTCATTTATTAAATTCTATATTTTTATAATATTTTAAATTTAATATTTTTTTTCCGTGCTTAATTTTCAGATATAATTTATCAAAATAATTATCTTTTGACGATCTTTGATTTGATACATACAAATTTTAAATTAATTTCATCTATCTTTACAAAAAAATGACAAACCAGATTGAAATATAGAAATAAAAACTGTATATTTTTTCGTATAAAATAATTTTATTATATTATTTTACCATGAAATAATATACTTCTTCGGCTTTAGTTTAAAAAAAAAAATATGCAGAGATTAATTATAAAATATAATGAATGTGAACAAAATTGTAAAACTTATGTTTCTACTTAAATAAATTATAAAATGGAATCAACGTTGCTATGATGTTAAAAAGTAAATAATATAAGTACATATCAAATTATAAAGTTAAAAAAAAAAAACTTATTAGTTATAATTCATAAAGTCAAGAATATTAGTTGATAAAGACTTATAAGATTGAATATTATTAACATGACTATACAATAAATATGATAACTAAACATAATTTACTGTGTTATTATTTTAATATTTTGTATGATATTTTAAAAAAAAATCTATAAATAAGTATACATCTCACGATGATCCAAATTTATCCATTTAAATATAAACAAATTACAATCAAATTAGCAGAGTTGTAGGTACGTAATATTTTTATTAAACTTATATAATTTTATAATGTAATTAAAATGAGTGTCATTTTTTTTTACAATTATGGTAAAAAATACATGTCATTTTAAAACCATGAAATAATATACTCCATTGGCTATTCATTTCTTGTACATTCATTTTTCTGATTTCATAGTAAAATATAAATACATTTATGTATTTTTTATTATATTTTTTTTTTCAAGTACCACGTTCTACTCCCTTTTATATATAATTCTCGAATGTGATGAGCCTAAGTGTTAGGCTCACATGCTTCAGGATCCTATGTGTCATAATTCCATGTTTTATTATTTGGTTTGAATAGATTTTAATTTACTTTCAATAGAAAAACAATTAGGTCCAAATTACCCGTAAATATGTTGATTATTTATGGTCAATTTAGATGTATTAATTATATTATAATATCATTTCATGTTATAACCATTGAATTATAAATTTTATTTTAAAAGTTGATAACTTTTGTATTTCTCATACGTTTTACACATATAATACATCAAATTGATCATCCGTTTATAAACTTTGATTTGACATCCATAATAAAATATAATATTAATTTAAAATAAAATTATTTATTAATTGATATATTTAATTTTAAATTAGTTGGTATAAGTAATAAAATAAAATTATTATAATATATATCAACCTTATCAAGTAAGTTGAAGTAAAAAGTGTCATCACCCCTATATATAATTCCCGAATGCGCTGAGCCTACATAGCTGTTTCTGGTGCTTCGAAATCCTACTTGGCGAATCATGCTTCGTAATTAGGTTTGGACAAATAATATTAATATATGAATAATTAATAATCTAGGTTCGAACATTCTATAAATAATATTTAGCTAACTTAGGTATTTTAATATCAATTGTACTAATATAACCATGTAATTTTTTGTAATTATACATAAGTGAGGTATTAAGTGACTAATATATCTCTGACTTTTGATTTGTTTCCTTCAATTAGCTATTAAATTGTAAATTTATTTTAAAAGTTGATAACTTTTATATTTCTTATCGGTTTTACATATATAATATATCAAATTAATCATCTTTTCATGGTCTTCGATTTGACATCCATATTGTATATATGAAATAAATAAATTATATTTATCTTTATAATAATAAAAAATAATAATATTTATTAAAATTCATTAAAAAAATAAAATTATTTCTCAATTGATATATTTATGCTTAATGTAGTTAAATTTATAAGTTAAAAAAGTCATTATAATATAACACAGGTAAGTCGCACAAATAAAAAATATCATATTAAATATATAATAATATATATATATTTTTATAAAAGGTATTTAAATTTTCAATTACTTTTTCTGATTATTCTAGATTTAAGAAATAAATTAGCAAGCACCCGTGTAATACACGGGCGTTGTACTAGTTCTAAAATATATAATAATATATATTTTTTTGAAAAAAAATATTTAAATTTTAAAACACCTTTTCTCATTAATTGTACAATTTGAAAATATGTTATTTAATAAGTGCTCGTGTAATACAGAGTGTTGTACTAGTTTATGTTTGAAATTTATTCCTTTAATTTTCAAGTTCCCTATATTTAAAATTGATTTTGAGAAAATGTACTTTAGCCACACGTCTAAAATGGGCAGGTTCCATAACTTTTTATATATATCCACGTGTATGTAACCATAAATAGATTCACTGGTTTTTATGTGTGTGTGTAAATATCTCCGGGAAAAATCCACCTCCATAACCGTCCTCTCTCTCTGCTCGCCTGAAAATATGTCCGCAGTTTCAACAGACCCAATTCCCCTTCTCCACCGCCATAACCGCCCTACATTCAGACCTATACGCAATTTGTATTATATCTCTGAGAAGCTCTTACCTGTTAGCTTGAATTGCAAACGGAACCCAAGCCGCGGCGTCAACGTCTGCTGCCGCCATGTCTGCACCGCCAAAGCTCTCTGCTCCTCCGGCGCCACCGCCGTCGAGACCTCCGAATCTGCAAATGTTACCTTTACCAGAAGGTTTGATTTGAAGCGGCCCCAAACGGTATGTGGTTTTTGTTCTTCTTGATCGTGGAATTGTGAGCTCGCATCTTGATTTTTTAATTGATCTTGATCGATCATTCTTGATTATGGTATCTGCCGAGTATGTTCTCCTAGGTTTTCTTCATGAGATCAATTGAGAATACAAGTGTTGGGGAATTTAATTTTCAGTCTTTTATGTGAGTTTTTGAGAAATGTACCGTGCCCTTTTTTGTTGCAAGTTTGGAGGAACTTCCGTTTTTCTCCCTTCGTATTTCCAAATATTTCTGTTACAATCGTAATCAAAATAGTAGAAGCATGAAAATTCAATGCTTAAGCATTTTCGGCACAATTCAGTCTACAATTTTCTTTGTTTTTAGTGTAAATTACTTCATAGACTGCCACGATGAATATAGTTGATGAGTGTGTTTGGTAGGCCTCAAGCATAAAAGTATGAGATGCTTTATTTAATTTGGCACAAAAGATAGTGTGTGGCGCCGTAGCACTGTAGCCATTAGACAAGTCTGAGATGTCTTACTTCATTAAGAAAAATGTATACTTATTATGTCAAATGTCATACTCTTTAAAATGGTCCAAATAGTTGTATCTGCTGTTTTCGAAAGTATGGCATCTCATCATGGAATGATGAAGTATGCATGTTTGTTGAATGAGCATGTCCGCCTAACGATTAGTTCTGCACTGTTAATCTGAATACAGTAGTTTACCTTTCAATGGGTTTGTTGAAATGACAGCTAGAAGGAAAGATTACTGTCAGATTAGACTGTGGAGAGAATGAAGAGTGTTGGAAGCTTACCGTGGGTTGTAGTTTACCCGGTAACTGGGTTCTTCACTGGGGTGTTAATTACATTGGTGAGGTGGGCAGGTACGCTTTCTACAATAGTCATGGTACTTTTCTTAAATCATTATTTAATTTCTTCTTCATTAAATAAATTATTCATTTATAGTGAAGTTTCAAACTAGACAGGCTTGTCTCAGTATCAGGGTTTATGTGAAGGTTATCATCTCTAAAATATGCTGGAACGATAAATATGCTTATATAACTATGCTCTTGTGATCTTGTTATACCATTTATTCCGACAGAAACTGGCATGTTAAAGGCTGCATAAAGATGAGTTTGCTTGAGATAACTTTGCATTCACGATAAATCATTATTTTGATTTTCATTGTGGCAGTGAATGGGATCAACCCCCTCTGGATATGAGACCTCCAGGTTCTATTCCTATTAAGGTAACTACTGATTTTTTTTGTTACTACTTATTGTTATTCTCATTTGTCCATCTATTAAGGTAACCAGTATACTTAAGATTGATTGCGGTTTAATGTTCAGGATTATGCTATTGAGACCTCTTTCGGAAAATCACTTGCATCTCTGGAAGGAGAAGCGTTTTACGAAGTTAATATTGATATTAACTCGAGCAGTTCGATTGCGGCTATACATTTTGTTCTGAAGGTGCATGCTGTATATATTATATATATACATATATATTTGTTTTGTTCTCTTACTGATTGATGGATTTATGTTTCATTCTCTAACTTCTATTGTTGATGTATCCACGTCTTTCATATGCTCTCTTACTGGTCTAGGATGAGGAAACTGGGTGTTGGTATCAGCATAGAGGAAGAGATTATAAGGTGCCTCTTATAAATTACCTGCAAGATGATGGAAATGTTGTGGGATCCAAGAAAAGCTCGGGCATATGGCAAGGTTGCTTGAATTTTCTGTGCTTACTTTCTAAAATAAGTTCTCTCTGTATACCTCTCAATTTATTCCACATTGCAGTATATGTCCAACTTGTTCGATTTTCTGTTCTGTTTTGGCACTCATTTCAGTAAGAGCATGCCATATTGCTTATAGAACTCATTATAAATTAGTTGGGCTTATTAGTTCAATCACTGGCTTGGTGAGTGGGTAAGGGGTAAAAGATTGTTGGAAGGAATAGCTCATGTTTGGTAGTTCATGTTTTGTAGCAGGGGCTTTGGGACAGATATCCAACATACTTCTTAAACCCGAAGCTGCTGATCTTAAACAAAATGACATTCAACAAAACTTGCAAATGAGGCCTCTTCAAGGTTTTTATGAAGAACAATCTGTTTTCAAAGAAGTTTCAACTGATAACTCAATGAGTGTGTCAGTCAGGTATGATCTTGAGAGCGCAAAACATGTTTTGCATATAGAAACTGATTTGCCTGAAGATGTCATAATACACTGGGGTGTTTGCAAAGACGAAGGTAGAAATTGGGAAATCCCACCTGAGCCATATCCTCCTGAAACAATCAACTTCAAGAATAAGGCGTTGCGCACTCTCTTGCAGGTATATCAAGAATTAGATACCTTGTCATATTGAGGTTAATCAAATCTATTCTTGTACACTCTTCTATTATTTAGCAGTTGCATTGTACTAGCTTATTTGCTGGATTGCTGCTAAAATGAACTTTAACATATTAATAATTTTTGATAACTTTTACATTTAATTATTAGAACTTGATGACTTAGATGAGTGTTGTTTTCCATTACTTTCTGTGACATGTTTGATTGCTTTGGTTTTCCTCCCAGTCTTCGTTGCTTTGCTGTAGTAAAATGCCAATACGTCTAAAGGATTTGATAATAACACAGTAATATGTGGAAACGGAATACTTTTTTCATGGAAGGTGCCACATTAGCTGTTCTATCTTGTCTCTCATGATATCCCTGCGCCTGACCCAAATCTTGTCATACTTCGAACCATAATTTTCTTTTGGATATATGTGGTACTCTTTTAATCATATTCAGAAGGCTTTGCGTAATCTCAGAGTCTTGGCTAGATGATCTTGTCTAGAAGCCATAGATAAAAAGTGCTTTCTTACCCTAACCACTGAATTAATAATAATTGCAGAGCAGATGGCTAGAGATCCTTTTTAACTCGTTACCTTCTATGACCTGAAACAAAAATTTTGGTTGGTTGTAGCAGTCAGAATTTAGTCATTCAGTTAACAATTGCACCATTTCCGGCTATTACTGAACCATATAATTGTCCATTGCAGCGAAAAGATGAGGGAAATGGTTGTTGGGGGTCATTGACAGTGGATGAAAGGTTTTCAGCCTTTGCTTTTGTGCTGAAGCTGAATGAAGATAGATGGATAAAATGCAACGGAAATGATTTTTACATACCCTTAACAAGCTCGGTTGTGCCTGATCAAGATATTGGTAAAACTCATTATAAAGGTGAGGAGCATCTGAAGGAGATTGCCTCACCTGAGATAATTGACAATATTTCTGAACCAAATGAGGCAGTTGCTGCATACACAGATGGTATCATTAGTGAGATAAGGAATTTAGTCAGTGATATTTCCTCCGAAAAAAGTCGGAAAACAAAGTGCAAAGAATCCCAAGAAAGCATTCTCCGTGAGATCGAGAAGCTTGCTGCAGAAGCCTATAGTATCTTCCGAAGTTCCATGCCTACATTTACCGATACTGATCAATTGGATAGCCAGGATTTACAACCCGCTATAAGTATATCTTCAGGGACTGGTTCAGGGTATGAAATACTGTGCCAGGGATTTAACTGGGAATCTCATAAATCAGGAAATTGGTACTTGGAGCTTTATGAAAAAGCTTCAGAATTGTCGTCCCTTGGTGTTACAGTGATATGGCTGCCTCCACCTACTGATTCTGTGTCACCAGAGGGCTACATGCCTAGGGATTTGTACAATTTAAATTCCAGGTATCACCTTGAATTGTCAATTGTGTATTGTGGCATCCCCCAGCATAGAATAGAAAGAGATTGTTCTTCTTTAGAGGTCTCAACTATATTACACACCTGATACAATATTGGGAAATGACTTACTGTAGTTTCTACTTGATTCATCATACATTTATTTGTTTATTCTTCATGATAGTTGCACTGATAGCGGTACTAATGTTGTTTGCAAGGTATGGAAATATTGATCAGCTTAAGGGTCTTGTTAAGAGACTGCATGAAGTGGGTATTAAGGTTCTTGGAGATGTTGTCTTAAACCACCGATGCGCACATTATAAGAATCAAAACGGCATCTGGAATATTTTTGGTGGTCGCTTAAATTGGGATGACCGTGCAGTTGTTGCTGATGATCCACATTTCCAGGTGCGATACCTTTCTGCCTCACAAAGTTTTAGTTCAAGGACAATTTTGTGAAGTTCTTTAATATAAAAATCATAAGCATGTGTTTCTAAAGTAAAGTTGACCAAATGTCCTAGGTCCCAGCTCAAAGAAATGAGAACTAGAATGGGAAAACCAAAATTAATATAATCTAAAGTTGTGTTAATTAACGTTTCCATATTCATCTTTTGAGAATAACTCTGTTCATTTCATTAGTTATGCTGTAATTATCAAAGTTGCGTACTATTTATTCTAATTCTGTGAGAAATGGTTTCAGAAAGCCTCAACCGACTTATTTCAATGAAATTGTAGATACTGGAAGGATCAAAATAGTCAACAATGCATGTTCTTTTATTTCGGTTCTACATCCCTTTCTTTTCTTTGGATGTCATTTCCCTACGACAGACATGTATTTACCATATTACCTATGACAGACATGTACATTAGTTCAGAAAAGAGCAAGAAATATCTTGTTGTATGAATGACGTCGTCGTGTCCAGACCTTTAATATTTGTGCCATTTCAGTAAGGTAAGCTCAAATTAAAGTAATCGAAAATTGCAAATGTTCTTTCACTTGACCACTCACAGGGACGGGGCAATAAGAGCAGCGGAGATAATTTCCATGCGGCTCCAAACATTGATCATTCCCAAGAATTTGTGAGAAATGATATCAAGGAGTGGCTATGCTGGTTACGGTTAGTCAATTGAATTTTCATTTTATCCATTTATTGCGATAACCGAATGCTATAGTTTCCATTCTGTCGGGTGAAGGTACTAATTTTAGTCCTAACTATTGATTTTTTTATCATAAATTCTACGTAATATCTGTTCAGTTTGTTTTGGCAAATGTAATTGAGTTATATTAGTCATACTACAGAAAATGAAAATTTACCTATGCAGTTGTTCCCTGTGTATGTGTATCAAATGTATGAGGTATATAATGTGCCCCATGCTCTCTGTGGGGCATATAATGTGTCTGTCTGTTACGCAAGCTGATTACATTGACTTGGTCATACAGTGAAGAAATTGGTTATGATGGTTGGAGGCTTGATTTCGTGCGGGGATTTTGGGGTGGTTATGTCAAGGACTACCTGGATGCAAGTGAGCCCTACTTTGCTGTGGGGGAGTTCTGGGACTCCCTAAGTTACACTTATGGAGAGATGGACCATAATCAAGATGCACATAGACAGAGAATCATAGATTGGGTAAATGCTACAAATGGTTCTGCTGGTGCATTTGATGTCACTACAAAAGGGATTCTTCATTCAGTAAGAACGTGACCATTTTCTATTTGTTCCTTGTATTATTATGTAGCATATATAATGATTACATTCTTTTGTGAATTGATCTCTGTGTGAGCATCTCTGTTTCGAATTGGCTGTGTAGGCACTTGAAAGATGTGAATATTGGCGATTGTCCGATGAAAACAGGAAACCTCCTGGAGTGGTAGGATGGTGGCCATCCAGGGCTGTTACTTTTATCGAGAATCATGACACTGGTTCCACTCAGGTTGGTAGTTAGAAATTGTTATCTTATTTACTTACATTTGTGCTTTGTACTGCATGTGCCGGTAAAAGAGTTACTTTTTTCTGTATCAACAATTGTATGTATATTAAAGTGCTCTTCCGATAACTTTATGGTTTCTTTATGTGTTTCCCCAACGGACAGAGGTTTGCCTTTCGAAAATGTATGTAATAGATGGTTATGTCCCTGCTTGGAGATGATGCGTCCAATCATTATCGATTAGTTAAGATTTTGGCTTATCTCCAGTATTTTAACCTTTTTTTTTTTTTTTAATTTTCATGAATTGATACCTCCTCCAGATTTTTGTGGCCGTCTTTTTGAAATCGATGTAAAGTACTTCATTTTCCTGGGTTGGTTCTAGCCAACTTGCTGAAATGCATTTTTTAAAATTATATTCGGCACTCAGCATGCAATTTCATTTGCATTTAGATCTTTGAAATTTCTGATGTGGTGTATTAGCAAGAATAGATAGAGGTTTGCCCATTTTGCACCACAATAATTCCTCCTGATTTAGTTTTCCATTTGAAAGGGCCACTGGAGATTCCCAGGTGGGAAGGAAATGCAAGGCTATGCTTATATCTTAACTCATCCTGGAACACCCTCAGTTTTTTATGACCACATATTCTCTGACTATCAGTCCCAAATACTAGCACTCATCTCCATCAGAAAACGTAACAGGATCCACTGTCGGAGCACTGTAAGTTCTTAAGGCTTTTATCATCCTCTCTTGCCTTTTTGAAATATGGCTTTTCACTTTAACTGTATGGTTGCTATCAAATGAATATCAAATAGGAAAATTGCAAAAGAATTACCTCGAGATCTAGCTTTACTACAAAATTACCCTTCCCCTCGACAACAGAGTAGTAGAGTACCCTCTTGACCTTGAGGATTATTTTTGTCTTACAATTTTTTCAGGTTGAAATAATCAAGGCAGAGAGAGACGTGTATGCTGCAGTGATTGATGAAAAGTTGGCAGTGAAGATTGGACCGGGGCACTATGAGCCTTCCAATGATGCCAAGAACTGGTCTTTAGCCATTGAGGGCAAAGATTACAAGGTTTGGGAAGTAAAATAAATAGGAAGGTGAAATCAGGTTTATCATCCTACACAAGTGCAAAAAAGTTTTGGCCTAGGTTTGCATTGAAGTCATTCTTGATTTGGAGCATCTATGGTAAATGAGAAATTGACTATAGTAAGACTGGAAACTGGATTAAGTCATTCGAAATTGGGGTTTCACAGGCCCGCGTACAGTTCATATTCTGTATGTATATACGGCAATGTATGAGAAAGACGACACTGTTAACTCTGTCTACTGTATAAATTTCGCTCGCCAGACAATGTATATTCGACATATTTGACATATAAATAATCTTCAAGAGCAAATTGATTATGTATACTGTTATGGATGGTGTAGAATCTATACTACAGTACATGGTAGTTCTGTTGGCTATAACCGTAACTCTGAATTTATTTGGTCGCTTAAGCTGGAACGCGTATTTAGGTAGAAACTAAATAAAGTAATCACAGAAATATATCAGATTATCGAACAAAATCCATGTGTATTCGACTATTTTGTCTTCAGTTTGTTCTCGACGTGTTCATGGATAATGTTGAAATTCTGATACTTGTGTTCTTGATCCAATTTCTGTACTAAAGTGGGATTCTCCTTGGGAATTAGGATATTCTCAGTAGAAATTATCTGAAATCTTGATCAAATGTTTCATTTTCAAATCCAGTTTAAGTACAAATCCCATGAAGGCTTATGATTTGTTCAGAGCCGATGTGATGCTGCTTGGTAAAGTTTCATAAAATGACTGTCATACATATTTATGGCGAGAAATAGGTTTCTCAAATTGTGAGTAATATCCCCTCTTTTAATCATGTAAATATAATTAAATTTTATTCCCTGCCTTAGTCAGAGATTGTTACACAAACCGTTAAGATCCTCGTGAAGATCAAGTTGTGTCATAAAACAACACTTCACAAGAATTCATTCACGTACACAACGACCGGACTCCGCACGGAATGAACACCATCTGACCACACGAGCGAGGAAGAAGCCATCGATATTGCTCGGTCGCATTTTACGCTGACAACAAATGAATTTTTCTCGTTCAATTGCCCGAACGAGAGTGTCGTGGGCTCCACCGTGACGCTACAGTCGCGTAAGTAGAATTTGATGATCCCACGTTCGTGACCGTCCTCGAAAAACTAGCCATGCCGCTTTTTGCACCTTTAGTCATCGAGGGGTAGTTCATGTCCGCCACCTCAGCTGGTTGGAGATTCAAGCAGTTGATGGTATTGTCTTGGATTAACTTATCCACCACTTCCGAGGGGTAACCCATCTTGCAGAGTAGCTTGATATAGTCTTCTGTGCACGTTTCGTAGACGAGCCCGGGATTTGTTGCGTTTATGGGGTTTATGTGCCCGGCCCCGTACGAAAACTCCGCGTCTTTGTGCTTTGAGGGGTCCATGCGCCAGGCTGGAAAATTTGGAAAAAGAAAATAAAAAAATGGAAAATGTCGAGGAAGTATTTTTGTATATTAACAAGATAACATTTTTAAATTTACCGGTTGTCATTAGAGCAGATTTGATTGCAGAAGGACCAATCGGGATGGATGGATTTCACGTAAGCAGCTGCACCAGTCACGTGCGGGCATGACATTGACGTGCCGGAAAGAATATTGTACTTAACGGATCTTTTATCCGAGGCGTAGTTTGAAGCAGGTGCTTCTGGTGAATATGCAGCAAAGATTTCCACACCTGGGTCCGTTATATCTGGCTGCATTTCGGCATATCTCTTCATGTTACAGAAGAAAAACACTAAAACACACAGGCAACTTCAAAATCTTTCCCAAGTACCTAATACCTTTAGGATATCATGGACAATGATATTCGGCCCTTTCGAAGAGAAACTAGCTACAAGAGGAGCATCTGTGTTTTTTATGGGCTCGCTTATCGCTATAGACGCTTTAGCATCTCTACCGAAGGGGATAAAAAAAAAATTGTCAATGAAAGCTGTGATAATTTTCAACTGAGTGAAAAATGGAAAAGATCGGATTATCTATACTACTGACTTTGTGGAGTTGACATAGTCTTGGACTAATTTGAGGTTGTCAGCAACTAAAGTGGTTGCAGGCAGAGGGACGACAAAAGACACATCGGGAGTTATGCCTTGTTTTGAGACGACTCCAGCAGCACCCGCATTTAGACCCTCTTCTATGCCTTTGGGGTCGTCACACAGAACAATTTTGCCGGTGACGAGGCTACTGTTTAGACACCCCGGAGAACGGAGCCTGGAGAAGATAAGATAAGAAATATATCTCCACTCATATCATCATATATCTCAAAAGTAAAATAAAACAAAGATTGGATATTTGTAGGACTAAAAGAGCTGAAAATGTACTTGGCATTGGTTTCACTACAGCTGCTCGTTACATCTTTCCCATACACCAGTGGCAATTCACTGCTGCCTTTCATCTTAAATGGATTCACTGCTTTTCCCTGTTCAAAGAAGAGGTAGTGTAAGTACAAAAATGTGTCTACACATAATTATCCGAGTAAACTGTAATTTTAGTCATGTATGTTACTCTAACTTTTTCGTCCTGTTCAAATTGCGATTTTGATTTTTGTCTCATATATTTGCAAAAATGTTGCAGAAAGGTCCTTTTTATACCTAAGGCACAAATTTGGAACATGTTTTTGTAAAACATGAAAGACCTTTTTGTTGCGAAATGGACCTTTTTAATCTTTTTGCAAACATACGGGATGATAATAAAAAACGAAATTCGAAAAGACGAAAAAGTTACGTTGTCAGACATACAATACTAACATTACAATTTACTCTAATTATCCAATCTCATTGCAAAATTTTACTTTACATCAAATATCTTTCCATCCCCAAGAGGTAGTTTGGTGACAATCCCACGGTCCATGGTGCTGGCCCCAACTGTGAAGATCCATGGGGCCACGCTGGTTACCGTCCCGGGCGAGAAGCCGTTGTTCCCGGCAGAGTGCACGGTGAGGATCCCTTTGTTGGCGGCGTGCAGGGAACCGATTGAGATGCTGTCGTACTTGACCTCCCTGGCTATGGTGGACCCCACGGATATGGTGATGATGTCAACCCCATCCGCGATCGCGTCGTCAAATGCCGCCACTATGTCGGCCTCGTGGCAACCCGTCTAGCACACTTTGTACGCCGCCACCCGAGCCCATGGGGCCCCGCCCCTGGCCGTCCCGCCCGCTATGCCGTAGAAGCTCGTGCTGCCCACACGGTTTCCGGCCGCCGTCGAGGCCGTGTGGGTGCCATGTCCGACTTCGTCCCTGGCACCAGTGTCGCTGGAGGGTGTAGTAGCGGGCCCCGATCAGCTTACTGTTAGAGATCAGTTGTTAGTATATTTCAATAATTGGGTTTTGGGCCAATTTTCTTAGAGCTCGTTTGTTAGCCCGGACAAGACAAGATTAGGCCTCCAATCTACCCTTTATCCCGCGTTTGTTTACCATGACAAGGGCCCGAGAGATAAGACGCGGCCCGCGATGTACAGTGCTCCAATCCCGCAATCAGCCGATAATTTGATCTGCCCGAGGGGGGTGTGATTGGGACAAGTCCGCACAGTGGCATGTGGTAAAATGTCTAATATGTCCCTAAAAGTGATTATTTTGTTCAAAATTGCCCTCAACAAAACATGAAAATTAAAAGCTGCCACTACACATTTTCCACGCCAAATACCTTCTTTTCCACATTCATTGACCTTTTCTGCACTGAGAAGTTCTCACATCCTTCCCCGTCGGCTTGACTTACGCACTAGATTTCCTTGTGTCATCGGCAGATTAGGTGCAAAACTTACCATTCCTGTCTGATCTTGTCACCTTCATCATATTTGCATGAAGTTTGTTTTTATTTTATCGAATTTATTTGCAATTAATTTGTTAATTTTGGGGTTTTGTTTTTTTATTTTTATTTTTTATCCCTTTTGTCAAGTTTATTGAACGACATGAGATTCGTTGTTTCCTTTGATTTTTGTATTTGTAAAGCAAGCAAGCTAGCATATGTGAAATTGAATATTTCCGGATCTGAAACTGAATTTCATTGAACCACATGAGATTTGTTGTACTGTGTCGTGAGTTATTCATTTTCGTTGAATATTTCTTGATCTGTATGCGTGTTTATGTTTTCCCGACGGCACACGTACTACCGGGAGTTTGAAAGTGAAGATTATCTATGTGTGTGGTATTTATTTATTTTTTTCGATTTATGTGGGTGGTACTGGTGTGAAGTGTTAAAAACTTCGTACCGCTTTTGAAGAAAGTTGAATCTCTCATCAAATTCATCGTGACTAACAGTTTGTTCGGACTCGTAAATGAAAATAGTGCGGCAGTAACCAAAGACTGCAGGCCCGGGACGACCACTACTCCACTTCCCAAGCAGATGCGACTCAATGAGCAAGTCAATAAAAAGATTGTCGGCCTCTTTTGTCCAATGACTGTCGTAGAGGCATTCGTCTTGCGTTATAGGAGTGGAAAGGCGAGGCACTGAGTTTGAAGTAAAAAAGAGTGGAAAAGTGAGAACGAATTATCTGGGAAAAAAATGAACGATTTTACCATCACATGTTGTAGTCTCGTTTTATAGTGGGAAATTTTTGTACTCCACATGCATTGGATTCCTTCAAAACAAATACAATAATGAAGATTTTTTTTGCTATTTTTTTAGTCATAAGGCTCATGATGGTATTGGTAGTGAAGAAGAATCTTGCATGTGAGGAAAAATCCACCATGCATCAGAAACAAAATCTATTGATTGACATAAGAGGAAAAAGGTTCACAGTTGGAACAAAGGTAGTTATATGCTTTTTGTTTATTTTCTTTTTGTTTTTTCTACTTTTGCATGATGATTGATTTGAACAAGATGTAGCAAAATGAGTTTGTAATTAAGAAAGGGGAAAAAACGAAAATACAACAAGCAACAGAATGGACATGCAAAAATACTGTATAACCACAACGGCCACCACTGGGTTGAGATGGGAAACAAAAAAAATAAAATTGTTTCAAAACAACATGGCCATGCACGTATGTTGTTTAAAAAAAAAAATATTAAAAACAATAATAAGA